TGTGTACATATATATATACTTTCATTTATTATGGCGCGCAATTTCTAAATATTGCTATCGGTCTTCCAAAAAGTTCGTATGTTTAATTACTAAGAAAATTACTATTTAATAGATTCTCAAACAAATAAACGCATATAATGAAACAAATTAAATGTATAAATACTTTTATATATTCATTAATTTTTAAATGCTGAAATATTTTTCTGATATAAATCGATTGACCGCAAGGACGTTTATTAAAATTAAAAACATATATCGTTGACGCGTAGAAAAATGTGATTCAACGTTCACGACCATGATAAAACAGTCGAAAATCAGACAAGCATATTTCTCGATGCCTAGCGCGAAAAGTACAGCTGATCGGAGTTCAAGACTTATCTATGACACGTGGTACACGCCGACTACCGGATCGGGCATAGCCAGACTAGCGGCGGTGATTTTAGCATGACCGAAGATGATAACCAGTTAACACTGGCTTCAGGCGCAAGGCAGATAAAGAGACCGGGGAAGCATTTAATTTCCAGATAGGCTGTTCCAACCTGCTCCCTTTTTTAAACTAAAAATTTTGCAAAATGAAGATACAGGTAACCCCCATATAGCGCGGACAGTTGTGCCCATAAAAATCGCGTTATACGAATTGATGTTGTGAAAATCACCAAGACTCGATATAAAACATTATTAATAGCTGGATAGGCTCCAAACATTAAGAAAAACCACATTGCTTTATTAACTATCTACTATTTAATATTAACGTTATTTTAATTAAACAATAATATATTAAAGTTTTATCAATAAATTATTTATTTTTATTGTTTAATTTCTTGCGCATATAAACAGTATATTTGAACATTAAAATCTTTGTCTTCATCCTAACATTTTATCTTTGTACACTGATCTTATCGATAAATCTATTAGTGTTTGTTTATTTATTTTTTTAAAGGGATCTTTATAAATTTCGTAATATGCAGTAACACGTTTACAAAGTTTATCCTGAACTTTGCACGGTTTGCAAGTAGATACGTCTCGTTGTACAAAGGGTTTCCCCTGAGCTCTTCAATCGTGTTGTACGGGGATTGTCTGTATCTAAATAGCATTCAATACATTTCGTCCGCGTGTACGGACCGATTAATATTCGTTACGGCGGCAAGAAAGAAAAAAAAAACTGTGAGAACAGATCGGATAGGACCAATAAATATATTAAGATACATGAAATATGGCGAAATTCGATTTTTCGCCGTATGGATTTCTTCAGACTCAAGACAGTCGAATTTCTCGGTATAAGAAACCAGCTACGCGGTGTAATCGTAAAATGTATTGCACGTAATTGTATTAATTATATTTCTTTTTACAATGTTTTTCAGTATATGGATATTGGAGAGGACATCGGTGTCCCCGAAGATTTCACGACTACGGAAATGGTCTCTGGAATGTGGTGGCGACACTTAGTGTCCGGTGGCATAGCAGGTGCAGTCTCACGCACATGTACCGCGCCTTTGGATAGGATTAAAGTCTATCTACAGGTGGGTTTTTGAAATAAATATTATTAATGATGTATAAAAAGTGCGATTAACAATGCGGACACTTCTTCGAGATCCTTGTATAAATTTGTTAACGGGATAAAAGCTTTGGTGCACAAATGTTTATACAATTTTAATACTTAAATTAGAATTTAATATTATATATAAATTAAATTTAAATATTCAAATTGTATACGAATTTGTGCACCGAGGGATTTTAACCTATTGCCTCATAATAACGTGTCAGACTTGTGGCAAAGATTTTGAACAAAATTCAAGCATAAATATTATTCGATTCTTTTGAATTTAAATTAAATATTATTCTTCTGTTATCAACTATCATACTTTAGAGCAAAATGGAATATACCTAGAATTTTTCTATTTTTTTTTCAATAAGTTGTTAATGACAAAGTAATTGCACCAATCATAGTTGAGAAGTAAACCAACCATAGGTCAAGGGGTTAAATAAATATTATTACTATTATTATTGTTACTATAACATACTATTGAATGACTAGAAAATTTCGATTTATTGCTCGGTACAAATGAAAACATAATGAAAATTGGCTAGATGATTAATGTCAAAGAAACAGATTATTCGAACAGGTTTCATTGTTAGTTTTAAATACTTGTCACCACCGTAATGTAAACAATGAAATAGAAGTCGATCGTCTACAGCTTTGTTTGCTTTACGAAGAAGAAACACAATTTCAGGTGCATGGAACGCGACACTGCAAAATCATGAGTTGCTTCAGGTACATGCTCCGTGAAGGTGGATTGACTAGCCTGTGGAGAGGGAATGGTATAAATGTACTTAAAATCGGGCCAGAAAGTGCGCTGAAATTCATGGCTTATGAACAAATTAAAAGAGCCATCAAAGCCGACGACGTTCGAGAGCTCGAACTTTATGAACGATTTATGGCAGGATCCTTAGCCGGAGGAATCAGTCAGTCAGCCATATATCCACTCGAGGTATGACATGAGAACGTTAGCAACAGTGCAACGAAGACCACTGACGAAATCATCTCAAAACTTTGATGCTGTTGACTGTTTAACGCCCGATTCATATTTAAGTTTTAAATTAATTGGATTATTACAATTAAAATAGAATATTAAGCAAAATCAAGATTTGTATTTTGTTTTATTATATTGCACGAAACTTATACTTTCATATATATTTTAATAATGTTATAATTAACCTGCGTGACATTTGCAGTCAGTATTTTTTCAATTAATGGTACTCATTAAAGATGCTTTAATTATGCATGAGATTCATAAGCATCATTACTCAAAAATATTTCATCGCTTACAATAATTGTAGATGTAAAAGACACTGTTGTGTATTATTTTAGGGTTGTTAGTTACCATTCTTATTCAGTTATATCTGTCAATTTTATGAGTTGAAGTAAATTCAGTCTTTAAGTAGAAAGTTTCATCAGTACTCCTTGGTAATAATAATAGTAATAGTAATAGTAATAGTAATAGTAATAGTAATAGTAATATAAAAGTATTTTTTATTATCTTACATTGACATTAAGAACTGATATATTTCAGGTACTCAAAACTAGATTCGCCCTTAGAAAAACGGGCGAATTTTCTGGTTTGCTCGATGCAATGAAAAAAATATATAAACAAGGTGGTCTGAAAGCTTTTTACAGAGGTTATATCCCTAATTTAATAGGGATACTTCCATATGCTGGCATTGACTTAGCTGTATATGAAGTAAGTACTTAGAGCTGATCTAAAGTTTAATATGATATTTATTTTAAGTATAATATTTATTTTGTTGCCATAGACATTAAAAAACAGATATTTACGAACACACAATAAAAATGAACAACCACCATTTTGGATATTATTACTGTGTGGAACAGCTTCTAGTACAGCTGGCCAAGTGTGTTCATACCCATTAGCTCTAGTTAGGACACGATTGCAGGCTAATATTGCTCTAGATAAATCTGCCGACACTATGGTTGGTGTTTTTAAAGATATTGTTAGGAAAGAAGGGATTCGAGGATTATATAGGGGTTTAACACCAAATTTCTTGAAGGTATAAAATAATTACTTATAAATGTATGTCGATTATATTTTAAGTCAATTATGATGT